GTGTTCAAAGCACCATTGGTACTTTTCCCACCCTCGTTGTCATCGGCACGGACCATGACAGGTGGTACTTCATTCCTTGGTGCTTTCTCTTTTTCCACTGCTTTGTTCAAGACACCATTGGTACTTTTCCCACCCTGGTTGTCATCGGCACGGACCATGACAGGCGGTACTTCATTCCTTGGTGCTTTTTCATGCTGAGATTTGTTACGGTGTCGACGCTTTTGGATATGGTGTTGGTGTTGATGCTTCTGGCGGACCTTCTTCTTCTTCTTGGATGCCATTGTTTCTTGGCTCGGAATGGTATGGGAATAGCTGGCTCGTATTCTTGAACTGAATTGATTCTATTTTATGCTCGAGCTTGTCTACCACCAATGACAATGACACCAGGCGTTCTATGGGCGTGGAAACTCAAACTTGAGCCAGCTGATGCTCTTTGCTTGCTCTGTTGTGCTTTTAACACTTGTGATGGCCAGCATTAAGCACTCGTCATGGGAGCATTGCCAGTAAAGCACTCGTCATGGGAGCATTGCCAGTAAAGTAAAGCACTCGTGATGGGAGCATTGGCCAGCGGTGCGTGAAAAGATCCAGACTGGCTGGCCTCAGGCCCAACCTTCCTGCCCTGAATTCAATATTTTAGGTCACACTAACACATCAGCTACGGTACCTGGTACCAGCTAACACATTCCCTCCTCACTCGCACCCAGTTCCATTGAAAGGCAACAAACAACATAGTAATCTCTCTATATATAGAATGAGTACATGTACCACCACGAAGAGCTCGATGCAGGCGGACGAAGAAATAGAAGAGAAAGGAGACCAGAATGAGAAATCTCCGAGGAGCAAGAAGAAGGGTGGCATCAAGCGCTTTGTCAAGAAGAAGCTTCGCCGAAATTTTTCGTCGTCTTCCGGTGGGTTTCCCTCGAGCTCGGGAGAAGAAGACTTGTCCCCCCAAGATACAACAACGACAAGCCACAAGATTTCACTCCAAGTCGGCGAAAAGGCCGTCCCCATGGCAGAACAACGGCTGTCGGAAATGTTGAAAAAGACGCGCTTTGTGCGACGACGCAACAAAATGCTGGGAATGCTGTCGTTCCAACCAGATGCCTTTGAAGTGGGCGAATTGGTGGCACGAGGAGGATTTGCCAATGTGCACAAATTGGAGACGTGGCTGTGCGATTGCGATTTGAACGAAGATGAGAATTGGGGCAAACAATACGTCCTGAAAAGCCTAAGAGCTGATGGAGCACGAACTGCCGAACGGTTGGCTTCCATGGCGAGTGATTTGATGATGGAAGCGCACATTCTGTCGGCTCTGGAGCATCCTCACGTGTTGGCGTTGCGGGGGATATCGACTCGTGGACTGTCTAGCTTGAAACGAGGTCATGTCGATGGATTATTTCTCATTCTGGATTATCTGCCGACTACTCTCTATCACAAACTAGTGGAATGGCAGAATGCAGAAGAAGAATTGGAAGAAACACAATCCACATCGCCATCGTTACGTGATCGATTCCAAGCAGCCATTGACTTGGCCAGTGCCCTGAAATATGTCCACTCCAAAAATATCGTCTACAGAGATATCAAGGCCTCAAATGTCGGGTTTGACGCCCAGGGTTGCCTCAAGTTGTTTGATTTTGGATTGGCAGTAGAGATTCCAAGATCGTCCGATCCCAACCGGACGTTTCAGTTGGCCGGTCGCAAAGGAACGGGTACGTGCCGTGCATCAAATTCAAGCCTACTCCTTTTTGTACAGTTTCCAACAACTCATCTCACCCACGTCAACGTTTTTGGTTCTGATTGCTTGTCTGCCTCCAGCAAGATACATGGCCCCAGAAAACATCAAGAAGAAGCCCTATAATGCCAAAGCGGATGTCTTTGGAATGGCCATTCTCACTTGGCAAATGCTCGCCTTGTCCAAACCATTTGCCAATCAAACATCTTCGGATGCCGTCTTGCAAAAGATCTCCCATGGAGACCGACCGCCCCTCAAATTCCTTGCAACCAACTCGTTTCAATCGACAACGACACAGCCCAAACTAGAACAATTGTTAGCCACTGCATGGGCCAAAAGCTTGGAAGATCGTCCCACCATGAAAGTCATGCATGCTCGACTCGTGCAAATATCCAAAGGGGAATTTGGACGACATGACGACAATGACAACCAGAATGATAGAAAGGATGATAGCCAAAAGACAGGCCAGGAAGAGGCTTACCCGCTTACCGATGCTAGTGTTACAAGTGCTGACAGCAGCAGCAGCAGAAGTCCTGGGGAAAACGATGAGAATGATAATTCAAAGCCCGAACATGGCGGAGAACAAGAAGATCCCACAGAAACGTTTCAGTATTTCTGAGTAATGGAAGTTTCGACATGAGATTGATTGATGAAAGGGACATGCCCAGCCAGTTTTGGATGCAAGTTCACCTTGATTGGCCTTCCAGCAGCATTCATTTGAATCAAGATGCAGTGTGCCTCCGTTCCTCTGAGACAAGCCTACCGTTTGAGCTTGGGCGGGTACCAATGGATGCTTATTGACAACCAACTGCGCCGCTCGCTTCGAGCCCCCACTTCGCGGCTACTGTAATCATTCTCTAAATTGATTGGAGTTGTGACGGCGATCATCAAAGCAAGCAAGACAAGGGGCGGATCCAGGGTGACAAACCTCCTGTGAAAAAATCTTTCCAGTTGGAGCTTTCCAATGTCAACCTCTCACATGATGTGGGTTGCCGCTGGAATACTTCTTGGGAACTCCCGAGCTGGTTTAAGAGTAGAAATCTCGGTATCTGTGGATCCCTAAAAGCAAGCATTGCATCAGGGCATGCGACTGGCTTCTGTGTGCCCTCTGAGCCCTCCGAGCCTATTCGGCTGGGTCGTTGCTGGCTAAGTATAAGTCAATCAGCAGCCCCTCAGAAGTTCAGGCTACCGGTACCTCAAACTACTGCCTATCCGTATGGAGTATGTCAGGCCAGATACGGAGTACCGATACTGGGTCCGTCAGCTACTACAAAGTAGTATGGTACCAACTGGTACGGTACCGGCACCAGTAGGAGCCAGAAGCAATGAACTGGGTCATTTTGGCATCCAAGTCTGTGTGTTTTGAGTCACTCCAACGACCAGTCCCGAGGCACATACATCGGCTGGACGGCGTGCACTTTTTCAAACAATAAAATCATTATAGCGCGAAGAGCAACCGCCAAATCACAGCTCCCTCATCAACATCAGTTCACTCCTTCATCGGTAGCATCAGCTGCCACTCAACTCTGTGTTATCGCAGCTGTTGTCGCCACTGTCTGCATCTTATTAGGATAAAACACTTTGGCTTGGTGGCTGGCCTCGCATTAACCGTCCCTTGTCAGAAGAGTGATTATTGACGTTGAATATCTGCTTTCCTCACCGTCTACGTCAATCTACCCACCCGTCGCTAGCTAGTCGCTGGTACCGGTATACAAGACCATGGACCCACAAGGTCAGCCTTCGTCAAACTCCAGCAGTGTGTTTCGTATGGTATCCAACTTTGTGTCTTCCAGCAGGGATGGCTCAGGCGACAATCACGGCGGGATGTCCTTCCAGCGCGTTGGGTCCAATGACAGCGAAGACAGTAACGACAGTATCAGTCCAACCCCCGCTTCTCCTCCTCCCGTCAATATGCCACTCTTCAACAGCGTCATTGAAAAGTCTAATCCTCCCTTTGCCGCAGTGATTACACAACCGAGTCCTCCTTCTCAACCAGGGACAGAAACAAAAGCACCTAATGAAACATCCCATTTGTTATCACAAACGGAAGCAGAGACAACCTTCTTGTCCAATCAGCCTCTTGTTCATCAGCCTTCCGAGCCAGAACACAAAATCCCGTTATCTCACATGACAGAAGCATTGCGTCAGAATACAACACCCTCTCGTCGGAGCAAACGCGCCCGGACTCCGTCTGCCAAAAAGAAGGAATCGATTGAATCGGAACGGTGTTTTGTCAGCAGCCGCCGGAAACAATCTGCCAAACCAAAGTACACTGACACTCACAGAGTCATAGCCACCAAAGAAAGATCAGAAGACGATAGTAGTGGGGTCTCGCAGAACACATCAACAAAAACAACCAATACCATTGGCCATGCCGATGCAAAGCGTACTATTGAGTCTGGTTTCAAGCCGAAAAAGAGACAAGCCCCTTCTCCCATTCAGACCCCATCTCCCTGTGTTGAATTGTTGAATGTGGAGTTACTGGCCACCCCCACTCATTCCGCGCTAAGGAGATTGAGAGAAGAGAATGAATCGTCGGATGATCTCATTTGGAAGTCATCTGCAGCGGCAACCCCAACCACGTACTTTGGTGATAGTCCGCTCAACGGCGCCACTCCTCCACCACGCCGGAACGCACGCGTTCGAACTCCGTTTGCCAAGGGGCGTCTCTCAACAACTAACGATGACGACGATGACGACCCAGAGCCATCTCCCTGGGTGGCGGTACAATCTGCAACCATTGTTGGGCCGGAGGTGTTCTCGATAGAAGGACGTAAACCTGAGGCAACCAGCAATCTTCAAGGGTTAAGTGATGAGTCGCGAATGAAACCAAATGATGCTTCAGTCAAGGCTGGTGCTTCTGAATTGTCGGCACACCAATCCGAAAGAAAGCCTGGAGCTACAACGACATCTCGAAGGCGCAAGTCATTTGTTGAGCCTGGATCCCTAAGACGAAGCTCACGACGGGCCAGCATGTCCTCTACGTATGCCAGCCCAAGCCCTGCACTCTTTCAGCAGAGTCCACATCTGAAACTCGATGCCGCCTCGTGCAACATGGATATTGGTCTTCGCGCCGACAGCTTTAGAGGCATGTCCCCCATTGCGGCGTCCAATCAATTCAGCAAGCCCCCCAAACCTCCAAGCGACCCAGAGAAATCACAGCGAAAGAGACGTGGCAGCCGACGCGCCACATTGGCTGTTGTAGTTGGTGATGTCCGCCAGTCACCGGCATTGAGTGTCGACCTTGATATGATAGAAAAGCAAAAGATGGCGCACAATCGCAGTGGAGGGGTGCGACCAATTGCGACAAAGGAGTCCTCCAGTGGAAGTCTCAATACGTCTAGCAGTCGACTTGCTCACGATGAAAAACAGTCCAAGAGCAGCAGCACAGGTCGACCAACAGCGAAGGCAGGCGCATCTCCGAGCGACAGTGTTCAGTCTTCATCCAATTTGACTAAGGAGAGTAGAAAGCGTCGCAACACTCGTAGGGCTACGTTATCAGTCCTTGTCCCTGGCCAGTCCCCATGTGCAAGCACGGGGTCCACAATCACTACAATTGATCCTGAGGAGGAAAAGCCTGCTAAACGCAGTCGAACAGCTCGGCGTCAGAGTCTCTCGTCCAGTTCGTCGGCTCGTTCAACGAGTTCAAGGGAGAAAGCAACAACCCAAGAATACTCTTCGGTCAGCCAAGGACAATCCAGTACTAGCTGTATTGCTTTTGACGACACCGACGACGAGAAACCAAAGAAGCGTCGTAAATCTGGTCGTGTCAGTACTTCCTCCTTGCCAATCAAAGCTTCTTCAGAATCGCCACGAACAACGGCATCGGATGACCAAATCACACCATCAGAAACTGCTGCCAAGAAGAACGCTTTATCTTTGTCTTCGGCTCCAGCGAAAAGTCGCAATACGACTGAGTCCAAGCCGAGTCGCCGTCTTAGCACCTTCAAGCTTCCGCCACTTCCAAGTGCTACGCTTTCTTCAGCGAACCGAAAGTCTAGACGAACGAGTCTGGCGACTGGTAGTCAAGTTGTCTTCGAATCGGCTGATTCCTCCCCATCAACCCAACGCGACAAGCTAGTTCAAAAGGAGACGGCCATTGCCACTCGCAGGAGCCCTCGTCGTCGTTTGTCTCGTTTGTCATCGGGAGCCAGTTTAGTTGCTGCGCTTGACGCTCAGCGGTCTCAAGATTCCTCCAGCAATGACACCAACGGAAGCGCAAGTGGTTCGCAGGTTTTGAACCCGATAGACATGAACAAGTCGTCCAAAACATTGACTCCAAGTAAGCGCCGACGAAGTCCACGAAAGCAAAGGCCAACCTCGAACACAATCTCCTCAAGCAATACAAAAGCTTCGTATGGCATGGGCAGCCGCGTCAATAGACCGAGTAGTTCAAAGAAGCGATTGCTGGGCTCCGCGGAAAAACCACGTACAGGAATGTACGGTTCCGCCAAACGACTCGAAAAGGATCTGCAGACCGCGACAATCATTCCGGCGAAAACGATTTCTACCAAGGCGAGCCGTATGTTTGCGAATACCAACATTGCAAGAGAGGTAAGGACTAATATGTCGCCGGAGAATGATGTGGCGGCTCATCATGAAGCCCGTTCTCAAGTTCTACACCATCTTCCTGTCCTTCCCTTCCCAGGCTTGCGTATCTGCGAGAATCTTTGCCTGCTTCGATTTGTCTCAGTCCAACGTTAGCGTTGCCATCGCGGACATTCCCGCTAGACAGGCCCAATCCGAAATGGTTGCACCGTTAATGCAGCTCTTGTCTTGTTTGGTCCGCCTCGAGATGGCAACTCTTGGGGAAGCTGACGGAAAATCATCTCACTCACGAAATGTTCACTTCAGTGGTTTTGATTGTTCCTCTGTTAAGCCTCCTGTGGATTCCCTGACTGGCTCTCACGAACACCAAGATGAATGCATCGTTTTGTTGGTGCTGGTCTCGATGAAAATTCAATCGATTGCAGATGGCCGCCTCGTTGAAGGCGAGAAGCTCTATGACCATTCCACTATTGACGTGTCGATATGCAGCCTCATCCGATTCTTAAACCAAATGTTGGCAGATGCGAACCTGAAAAAGGAGTGCGCAATGGTAGGTCTTTCATTTGTCGATTTGGCATGAGTGGAAGTCAGGAACCAATCTCAACTCTGCTCTTCTTCCCGCAGTCAATCGATGCAACCTACCCGCCTGAAAGATTGAACAAGGCACTTGTATTCTATAAGAGCGAATTTGAGTGCATTCTAAAGAGGCTGACGGCATCGTCATCCGAGCCATCGCTGGCCTCCAAAACTTTTCTGGAACGACGGCTCGCGGAGATTGCAGGACAATCCATTCGGTTTCACCTTCGAAAACTGTTCAATCCTCCACCACTGCCTCTAACTAAACAGACCTCGGACAATGCTGCCAACGATAACTCTCTTGTCGGTGCCAATGAGGCCTCAGCTTCAAAACGATTTTCACGTGTCTTTGAGCTCGTTGAAATGACGCTTCCAAATTCAGCACGAGATTCCGCAGTCGCTGACGGGTCTGTGTCGTCTCTCTTCAGCTTGGCCCTAAGTGTCATCTTTGAGTTCTTTGGAAAGGCAGCCTTCCTTTCTGCGAAATCCGACGCTGATACGATCCCTTTTCTGAGCAGCTTTTGCACTAGTCCGGTATCACAGCGAGGGCTTGGCAACCCCAAGAACCCGGTAAAGTACATGTCATCGGAAGATTTGAAGGAGCTGATTGGAGAGGTTGGTGAAGTCTTTGACTTCCTGGCAGTCTTCAATGCTTGCAAGTTTCTTGTTGATCTCATCCATGTCCCAGGAGTTGCACAGGAAGTGGAGCAGATGGGCGGATGGAAGCCGATTGAGAAGCATGCCAAAGCTCTTTCAGATCTCAACCTTAGCACAGTTTGCCTGGAGGATTCCCACTTTTCGGCTATTGCTCATTCAGGAAACATGAAGCATTTCTTTGCCAAGGTCGAGAATTGGCTATCCCACATGGAACCGAAAGTAGCACTGGCAGAAATCAGCATCAAACAACTTGCAAAGCGCTACAAGACCAGGGCAACTAGTCCGAAGCAACGAATTGCAATCTACCGCAAGTTTCCTCACGTAAAAGTTATTGCTGAAGCGATAGAGGAGGGACGTGCCCGGGCGAATGCGTTTCCGCTGGTGAAAGAGGTTGCGTCCTCTCTGTGAGCTTCCTTTTCAAGGTTGTGGTCACTACAGTAACTATAGCTAAGGCTCGATCAAGCGTCAACTGTGAATATTCCTGCGTACAGATACCAATAGAACCGAACCACAATGTAGGAAATTCTGCCATGCGATACCAAACCTTTTCTTGTCGACAATTAATTGCCCACGCACAACTCTCCCAAGGTAGTTTTTGGGTCCTACTACGAGCTGCTGCATGTGAAGACATTGTTTGTTCTAGTAGTTCTGTTTACGTATGTTATTTTGCATCTATCCCTTGTACTCCTTGATGACATCTCCAGCAATGACCAGATGCTGAATTTCAGAAGTACCTTCGTAGATCTCAGTAATCCTAGCATCTCTGTAGTAACGTTCTGCGGGCATCTCGGTCACATAGCCTGAAGCAACATGTCATGAGCAGTGGCAAGTGATTGGGATTATGGTTCAGTTAGCACACGACACGACAAGCACCGACGGACAAGAAGACAAGGAATATGGAACTTACCCATACCACCCAAGATTTGAATGGCTTGGTGACTGCACATTGTAGCTGCTTCCGAGGCAATCAATTTGGCTTGAGCCGCCTCTCGAGTGAATTTCTGGCCGGCATCCTTCAGCTGCGCTGCTCTCCATGTCAACAATCGAGCAGCATCACGTGCATTCACCATCTGGGAGATTTTATTTTGGATGGATTGGAGAGAGGAGATTGGCTTTCCAAAGGCTTGTCGTTCCAAAGCGTAGTTGACGGCACAGTCAATACTGGCACTTGCAATTCCAAGGGCCTGCCCAGCCACACCAATGCGTCCTCCATCCAAAGTCTGCATGGCAATTTTGAAACCTTCTCCCTCCTTTCCAAGAAGGTTCTCCTTGGGGATTCGTACATTGTCAAAAATCAGGTTGGCAGTGCTGCTGGCCCGGATTCCCAGCTTGTCCTCCTTGGCACCCAATGAGAAACCCTCCGAATCCAGGGGAACAATGAAAGCAGAAATTCCCTTGTGCTTTTTGGATTTGTCCGTGGTAGCAAAAACAACTGCAGCACCAGATTCATATGCGTTGGTAATCCATGCTTTGGTTCCATTGATGATCCATTCATCTCCATCCAAGGTAGCAGTGGTACTGGCTGCTCCTGCATCACTTCCATTTCCTGGCTCTGAGAGTCCAAAGCAACTGTCATTTGAATTGAATAAGTAAATGACAGAAAGAAAGGAAAATGAACCAAGAAAGGAAAGATTGAGGCAAGAAATTCTCTGGGACGCGAAAAACATCCAAAACCACAGGCAGCCCAACTTACCCAATTTTCAAGGATCCATCATCACTGGCACAGGTAGCGTAGGGGGCAGCCCACTGTTCCTTTTGTTCGTGATTTCCAAAGGTTTGAACAGGATACAAATAGAGCGAATTGTGGGCACTCATGATAACTCCCATGCTGGCACAGCCGCGACTAATTTCTTCCATTGCAATGGCATAGCTCATGGCATCCAAACCACTTCCTCCGTACTCATCAGGGGTACAGATACCCATCAAACCCAATTCAGCCTGCGTAGAAATTAATTATTAAAATGGCATCAATCAGAAGGGAGGATAAGGAACAATCAAAAATCAAAAAGTGAGAAAATATTTCCTTCAACAGGTTGGGTCCATGAAAACTAGAGAATGGTAGGTACCAGCATTCTTCAGGCTTGAAACAGTCCGATCATTTTCTCAAAATGGTTCCAATTTTATTTGTGAAATCCAAGCCCTCAGAAAACCAAGAATCACCAAGGAAATAAAGACGTACCAAATCTTTCACCTTGTCAGGAAATTCATGCTTTTGGTCCCATTTTCCAGCATTGGGAGCAATTTCTTCATCGGCAAATCGACGGCACATCTCATAGAGCATTCGATGTTCTTCCGGCAATTGAGAATGGGTGGTATAGCCACGGCGGGAGGCTGCCGAGGTAAACCTTCGGGCGATGGTGCGGCTTCCACGGGAAAGGAGGGACATGGTCAAGAAATTCTTGAATAAGAGCTGATGGAAATAAAATGTATCCTCTGAAAGATTGGAAGAAAATGGAAGAGCAAGAAGATGTAGGTTTGCTATGTTGAGAATGCAAAGAAGGCAATTGCCTGATGTTTTCTCTCTGTAGTGGGCATTTTCATGGAAAGGCTGCGACCAGAAAAAAGGTGTCACGACACTTGGGATCTTTGTCACGATCCATCATTGATGGCGGCAATGACGTGCCAGTTGATGGAACGGTGATGCGCTGCGAGTGGTGTCAAAAAGCCAAATATCCCTAAATACTGTACATCTTTTACCTCATTAAGGCTACAAGGAAAAGACGACCCAACAAGTAAGTGGTAAGTTTTACCTGTTGAAAGCAATGGATATGACAGACTTCCGCTAGCTATATAGTCTGAGGTGATGTAGCTAAGCGGGAAGGTTCTAGTGGATTAGGAATAGAAGCGAAGCCGTGGGTCCTACAAAGGCTGGTTGGCCTGTAGGCCACCACCTTGAGGACATCAGAGCGAAGCGAGCGACTCGACTCGACTCAAGCTTCGCTCGTCAGGAAACCGAAGGAAGAAATGGTAAGAAGGAAGGTGGTACCAACCTGTCAACAGCCAAACCAAGCAAAAATGCGACCAAATTCTTGAAAGGAAAAGAACGGTTGTGAGATCAGTAGCCTTTTTGAAACGGAAACACAAATTTGACTGCCCAAAAGTCTTCACTCCTCTTCTTTAGCTAGCTAGAGGTAGCATTTTGGCTACTAGTACCGTCCGAGCGACCCCAGTGGGTCGCCCCTTCAAGGCCCGCCTTCTTCCAAATGCCCAGGGTTCCTTGACCCCTTGGTTCCTGACCCGCCAGCCATGGCTGGTGTAGGTACCGGTATGAGGAAGAACTCCGAGGATTTCAATGGCATCACTCAAGCTACCGGTACCGTAGGCCTACCCCAGGACTAATGATGGGTGCTGAGTCCGAGCGGGATGCCAGTTTCATGATGCATCACATCAGGATGTGTGATTCCGCGGCCACCCTGAACATCTAGTAGCCGGTATCCTCACGCTTCTTTGGTCAGTTGTTGACGGTACAAACCATCAAACTGCAGGTTTGGTTGCTGCCCGCTTCCGAACCTGGGGCGAGCGAAAATCAAACCATCAGCAACAATCCGGCTAGTGTGAGCAAGCCAATTCGTTCTTTGTAGCTCCTCTCCTGGGGAAGTCGTTTTCGGTTGCGAAAGCGCCTGGACTTCTTGGGTCTGTTTGATCCAGCCCAGTGGCACTCCCACAGCTGCTTCCAGCTACGGTACAGCAAAAGTCAGGCAGAACAGTCTCACATCCAGTGCAGCACGGCACCGGGTTTGACCAGGGTGCGTCTGAAGAAGGCACTCCAAAATTGCTGGAATATTAGAGAGAAATCAGAACTGAAAGGAACAAAAGAATACCTTTCTGTGGCTTCCAGGTTGCAGGCACCAGGCACAACGGCACACCACAAGGTTGTTTCTTCAACCAATACTCATTATTAATGATCTTGCTTGTTTGCTTGGCGTTTCGGTCACCTCGCGAAGCTTCTACCTGATAGCGAGTTACCCAATTTACGGTACGGTACTGCTACACTCGATCGATGAAGAAGGAAGAAGACGACTCCTTCCCACTTCCCATTTCCCACCCACCGGTTCTTTTGCATGCCATGTGCATCCGTGCATGCTGATTTGACTTTTGCTTGTGCCCCTCGACTGAAACACAACCTTCAGCTGAACCAAAGCAGGCTTGAATTAATGAGGTCTTGCCCAATAGCGACTTGTTAAATCACATTGATACCATAATATTATAATATATATACACCTCACATTCTGCACCAGCATTCCTTCACTGCCCAAAGAAAAGTGATCTATTTATGATCACAATGCACCACTATGCACCACTGCACCACAAGTTGATTAGGAAGTAGGAAGTGAAGAACAAAGGCGATCAAATCAATTTAGCGAAAGGTGTCCAAAGTTGAAGGAGGCGTCCGAAAGACGGGAATAATAATAATATAATATTATGAAGAGCATCCCAAGGTCTCAGAGTTCTATCTGAGTCGAGCCGAGTCACTCCTGGCTCCTAGAGTGAAGGTACTGAAACAGCTCTGAAACAGCCATTGCTTTGTTTAATGTTTAACATCTTCCAAATAAGCTCTCATTCTTCTCATGAATTTGATTACATTTAATTAATAATTGAGTCAACAAATTAGGTGATTTCACAATACAGTACGTGTTCAGAGTAAATCCCCTTCTCTCATTTGAATCTTCTTCTTCAAAAGAATAAGGCATTAATTAAAATGTGGACTGATGCAATTTCTGGTTTTGAATAGCCTTAGAGCCAATGCATGTTCTATTTAATTAATAAGCTTATATGGTTCCTACCAGTAGTAGCTTATGCGTACTATATTAATAGCTGTATTGAAAGCAATAGAAGTAATTTAGCGAAAGCCACTTCAATGACGGCCTTAGTAACATAGCTGTAACATGAAGTACATATTCCAGTAATAATTATGCAATTATTGCATCGATTTCACGGTGTGAACCTTTCTCTGCAACTTCAACCATGCGGAGAAAATGCATGCTTAAGTTCGCGTTCGAAATGGTCAAACGCGGGAACCATGGGTTAAAAACTCGAACTAGGCTGGTTGAAGAAGCAGCCTCCCTGCTTCCTCGGAAGCAAAACCACATCACTGCAATAGCACAGCTATTTTACGAGTATTTAAGGTGTTCGGTGAAGGGCCCCAAACCGAAGGGGAAAAGTGGAAAAGTGGAACCCAGGAAGTTGAAACACAAAAAAACAAAAAGGAGCAGATCCGCTCACAAAACTGAACCATTATACAACTGCAAAAACAGTCACTACGATGTTATCCACCGACTGCAGTCCATTGGCAAGCTTCATGAGAGGCCTAGTAGATGAAAGACCATGCAAGCCAAAGATCATTATCATTGCTGACAACTGCGCCATGGTTCCACCAAGTGAATCCATGAGTGCCCAAGCACAAGAGCAACTCCGACTGCCATCTTCCGAATCTTCCATTCCAGAGTTGTCCCGTTGGGACAGCCACCCCATCAGGACGGAAAAGCACTCCTCAGCGCAAACGCCAGACTGCCCTCGACGCTCCTCGAGTTTTGATGGTATCACCGAATGCGAGTCCTTCCATACCGAGACGACCACCGAATCAAGAGAAGATAGTAGGAGAAAACTCGACCTTCAAGTCTTTCCCCCCAGGCGTCCCACAAGACGATCCAGCGCCGTTGGAGATTGCTCCTTTCACGACAACGATACCTCCAGCTCATGCGGTCCTTCGGACTTGTCGGTATCATCAATGGCTTCCGACGCCACTCCTTCCACCGGATCTTCTTCGGCTCTTTCTTTGGATTCACTGCTTGTCGATATCTCGCCGCTTTCGAGAAGCAACGAAAACAGTCCTTGTAGATGGTCCAATTCTGTTCCTGGGACATCCTTTCAAGAACATTCCATGAAAGTCCAATCAGACCGACTGAGTCGCCCCTGCATTGACCTGACCCCGAAGAGCTGGATGACTCCACCATCTCTGCCAAAAACACTCGAATACGACACCGAGTCCCTCGACCAAGAGCTCGCCAGGATCAAGACCGTGTACTCATCCAGCAAGAAGCAACGACACAGCTCGTGGCCGCCTCTGACGATTACAAATTCGCCTAAGGAGGTAATAGCAGATCTTCTGCCAGCATCAATAGAGCTATGAAACCATACAGATACTAAACGATAGACTTCATTGCTGCTGTGCAAAACTAGCGAGTTAGCCTCCCGTCAAACTGACTATACAGTCCTGAAAAAGTTCACCACGGGTGGTTTGTCAAAGGGTTCGCCTGTATTGGCAAATGATTCCCAGGCTGCAAAATGCGGCGCCTTGGTATGGGCATCAAAGCCTTCTTTGCCCTCATTGTCTCCGGTATATTCTTCGTGAAAGTGAAACAGGTTGGGCGTCTCGGTCGATTCTCCCCACACGTACTGTAAACACAGTGGCTCCTCTTCGGTGCTGCCCTTTTGATTGTTGGCAATCACCTTTAAAAATTCGTCTCGTACTTGTGGCTTGGGATACAGGTTGACATTGAGACAGTACACGGACTTGTCTTGTTGTTGTTGTTGTTGTTGTTGTTGTTGTTGTTGTTGTTGTTGTTGTTGTTGTTGTTGTTGTTGTTGTGTTGTTGTTGTTGTTGTGTTGTTTGTGTTGGCCATTTTTCGGATCTCGAGTGGGTGCCATGGAAGAACTCCACCACGGGTCCATCGTCCGACCAGGGCTTGGTCTCACAGAAATCATTCCATTTGAGCCAATGAGGCGTCTTGATGTGATGTTGAAATGCTGCTTCACCTGTGTATTCCTCGTGCAGATAAAATGTATTGGGTGTGCAGGTGTCTTCGCCGACTACAAATTGCAGACAATCAGGCTCTGTTTTGAGAGACTGCTCTCGATCTTCCTTGATAATAGACAAGAAAGCATCGCGTTGGTCTGGGCGAATGCAGAATTTGACGTTCAAACAAAAGGGATGGCCCATTTTTGTTGTTGTCGGGATCTCTCTTTGTTGCTTGGTTGTGTTTGTGTTTTGTGTTTGTGTTTGTGCTTTACAAACTGTGGCAAGTCAGCAAAAAACAACAAGGCAATGATTACGAATTAGCGAATGAGAGAAACGCTACACAAACAAAAACTGTGGATCAGGATCCATTATTTACCTGGGGAGGTATCAGTACCGCTAGCTAGCTAAACCGATTGCTTCCTGTAGTCCACAATCCACAACTGCCTTGACTGAGCATAACATGTACCGTTATGTACGGTACCGAAGAAGATATTTTCACTTGTTATTAGTATTAGCACGCGACTGCATTGGTGCGGCCGGTATCTTTTGGATCTCGATCTTGTTGCGCTTTAGTGGTGCTTGGTTGGTGGTGGCGTGGGTGCTCACGCCAATCCAGTGACTCGACTCAACCGTGATGAATGAATCGAATCACGATCGAATGAACTCGACTCTGACTCGACTGAAATCGAATCTTCCACAACTTCCTGTACGTACATGGTACCTGGTACCATAAATCCATAAACAGCAGCTCACAAGTTATCCGAGCAGTCTTTTTTGCTTCTTTTGGCACTCGACAAGAATAAGATGTCTGTTCCATAAGTTCCATTGAGTTCCACAACTGAGTTCGGGGGTATCGTACGTAAAAAGGGATGTGCCATGTAAACTTGACCGAGCAGATTCTTTTGCTTTTCTTATCTATCTTGGCGCTTGGCATTGGAAGATTTACTAGAAATAGCTGGCTGGTCATACCAGTACCGGTACATCAAGATGCCTGTTCCTTCCAAAGTTAGTTATTAGTAGTTTGCTCTGAGTTCAGGGTTCTGGGTTGTTGTACCGAACCGGTGCATAAGGGCTTAAATTTTCACGACATGCCGCGTAAACTTGACTGCACCTTGGAATCTGAACAACAGCCCTCAAAATTGCACAGACACCAATCCCCCATTAAATGCCAAAGGGCCTTTCAAGACCTAGCAAGAGCTCTGGTACACACATACAAGCCCACAAATTCAAAAATTGCGCTTGGTGACTCGCTGGTGGTGTGGTGGGAATACGGCACGGTACATGTATGTAGATACTCGAGTGGGATTGCCGCTGCTACCTTTGAGTACACTGTACAGTATCACCGAGCGACCACCTCCAGCAAAACGGACTTTCATGTTTGATTCTGAACCAAGCTAGGTGCAGGGAAGAGAGAGCGCATAAAACAACCAAGAAGCCAAACTCCAAACCCATTCCTACCCACCGTACACTAGCAACCATGTACACGAAGGTTCTTTACAACAAACCAATCTTTGAAGACTTTGAAAGCGATGCCTTTGACGTGGAAGACGACAAGAACAATGAAATCTGTGGATGGGACAGCCTCACAGGCTGGCTTCTCGATGACGAAGGATCTTCCAGTTCGGCCGAATACGATCTTATCAAGGACAGAGAAACCAACAGTGTGAGCCATGTGGTACGACTCTACAGTGGCGGCGACTATCCCACCCCCTCGGGTGCCTGGAGTACCACCTTTGATGTCTCTGCGGAGGATGATCGCAACTCGACTTTGATTCTCGAGTTTGATTACTACGTTCAGATGGATCAAAGATTCGATGACGAGACCGAGGGATCCATCAAAGTACACGTCGACGAAGCTGCAGTAGGATTTGATAAGAAGGGGAATCCCATTTATGGATGGGACAAGTACATTACTGTGGCTACATTTGATAAGCATTCCTTTGAGGTGGGAGAATGGCAGACGGCCCACGTCGAACTCGGAACCTACGCACAAGGCACCCACGAAATCAAGATTGGAGGCAGACTGTGTTCACAGCCAGAAGATTGCAAGAAGAAGTTTGAACTCCAATTCAACAACATGAGGATCTACAGTCTCCCAGGAGCCCAGGAGGACGTTACAAGGCTTGGTACCCACCCAGACTTTTGCAAACTGTATTGAAGCGTGCCGTACTGTACCGGTACAAGACAAGCAGCTGACGACGACAATCAGAGGCGGCAGCCAAAAGGACGCCAAGCAATTTTGAAAGATCCCTGTAGATTACGCTAATCGATTTAGAAAAGCATATTGTATCACTATTTGCATGAAGCTTCTTGCTACCTTAGAAGAATGGGATGCCTGTGGCCACTCCCTCCACAGCATCTCTACGCATGCACTCAAGCTCTATGTCGCCGTCATTTCGTAACCGTCAGTTTCAAATCGACTCGACTGTCCATTACGAACAACCCCTTCTTGCTTGCTCATTGCCGAGAAGCAGCTTGGGTTTCAGTGTCTGGCGATACCATTTCTGTGAGCTAGTCAAACTACTGGCGCATTGTTTGAAGGAACTGGTCTCTTTGCAATTCAATCAAGATAATGGTAAAGTAGCCTAAATGTGCATAACAAAACCCCGTTGAAAATTTAATTATCACCGACATATTTATTCAATCGTATAGTGATCTTCGAGCTTTATTCGACAAACCCCAGCGCTGCCTCCAACAACAATACCGAAACGGTCGTTTGTCCATTCGGCAAGCTGACTGATTTGACCCAGTGTCATTTGGTTCAACTCTCCAACGACGGAAGGAGAAAGATTGATTTATTCAATCGTATAGTGATCCTCGAGCTTTCGGCGACGAACCCAAGCGCTGTCTCCAGCAACAATACCGAAATTGTCGTTTGCCCATTCAGCAAGCTGACTGATTTGACCCAGTGTCATTTGGTGCAACTCTACCTACCGTCACGACCGTCGTCGCAGAAAGGTTGTTGGGGTAGGACGTTCCAACATTGGCGGCAGCCTGACCTGTGGCCTCTTGACCCGGTGTGGGTGGTCCAACACCGGCGTTGACCTTGATGAGGGGCTCTAACGAAAAAATTCCACAGACAAAAATCTGTTGCGATTGTTGCGAAGCAGGGCCACGTCACTTCGTAAGGCGGCTAGCGGAGCAGCAGCTTGGTTTTGCCTTGCAGTCACTTGGTTTTGCAAAGCAGTCACTTCGCCAGGAAGTGCCAAGAGCGGTGTAGCCCAAGCTGGCGCTCGTCCGGGGCCGGATGGATATTGACGTTATCGACACCAGCCATGATTACGAAGGGACTTCGATTACAATACGGTAGTTGTGTTGTGTTGATGCCTATCCAACTTTATGGAACAAATGCACTGGCAAAATTGGCCGTTGTCACCTCCGTCTGTTGGCTATCGTGCTATCGAGCCACAGTACCGGTGCCAGTACGGTACCGTACGGTGCCGTGAAGGACCGGCCCCCGTCAGTACTTACCCTTACCCCTAAAGCAAGTCGTCGCTTGGAGAAGACCACACACCACAACACTACAGTACAACGACGAAGCGACGAAGCGACCAAGCGACAAGCGACAAGCGACAGCTCTCGGGCAACACATTATTACAGTAGTTAGACCATCACCATGAGTGCACCACAGCCTGGCGGACCCTCTTCGTCGTCGGCATGGACTCACGTCCAATTCGACACGACCATTGTAAGGACACATCAGAGATAGAGGAAACGGATTACTTGGCTCAGTTTTCTAATCATGATTGCATGTTGTCCCTTCTCTGTCCTCACCATCATTATTTCAGGGAACGTTTGTTGTCGAACTGTATTTTAATCACGCTCCTCGAACATGCTACAACATGGCAGCATTGGCAAACACTGGATACTTCGATGGGTGAGTTCGTTCTACCCGCAAGACCATGGTTTTCCAAATAATTGCAAATCTACTCCCACATGCTTACATTACCAACATCTTCCTTCAGGGTGAGCTTTCACCGAATTATCAAGGATTTCATGATACAAGGAGGGGATCCTTCTGGAACGGGAAGAGGGTGAGTCGCTGGCCAGCGAGATTTGGCTGCCCATTCTTTTGCTCAAGTTTCCAGTTAACAGTTTTTTTGTTCTTGCTTTTGCTTTTCTCCCTCCAATTCAGGGGCGAGAGCATCTATGGTGGCAAATTTGAGGACGAAATCACTCGCAACCTAAAACACACGGGAGCTGGTGTAGTATCAAGTGCGAATGCTGGGCCCAATACTAACGGGTCTCAATTCTTTGTCACCTTAAAACCAACGCCTTGGTTGGATGGGAAGCATACCATCTTTGGACGCATCTACTCGGGGATGGGTGTCATTCAGCGCATGGGAATGGTCGAAGTAGATGATAAGGATAAACCCAAACATCCAGGTGAGCGCAACTTGCCAAGAAATAAATGAGGAACTCACTTACATGCCATTGCATTCTGACCCTCACTTTTCCTCTGCACATCTCTTGCAGTCATCATCCACAAAGCCACACCCTTCCGAGGACCACCACCACCCAAGTCTGAACAGCAAGCGCGGGCACAACACTTGCAAATTGCTGCTTCTTAACAATAACGCGTCAGTAGACTCGGTCAGATTTGGAAAAATCACAGCAGTACGCACATATTAGCTGGTTGTGTGGTGATTTGATCGGCTGGGTTCAATGTGCGCAGCTAGCTATGATGCCTTTACAGTCGCCACGATCAGATAGAGATGTTGTGCACCCAATGGTTCGGAAGCCTCACATTATTTTGTAGCTCTAGCTAGCCACATGTGGTTGGACGTTTTTCATCATGATATGCCGATGACTCTAGTAGCCAGCATAGTTTCCGGTAGCTAACCAAATTGACATGACTAAAACTTCTCGGGATTCAGAACACGTACCTGTTACCAACCAACGCACACGCATGATGCGATGATGCGATTGGCCACCAAAGGTCCTCAACATTCCAAATCGACAAGCCGACCTATCAATCTATTACGGTCTCTTACTGTAAAGAACAACCGGCAAGTATTCATAGCTATCGCTCAAGTTGCTTGCTAGCCTGGCTAGAGTAGTACTCCTGGATTGCACCAAAGACGAATTCAATCCATTCTAAACAAAGACTCAATTATCGGTCTCCCACCACTGAGCACCATTATTATCATTCCCTTGCAGCCTCGTCATTCTCAAAGATGAATCGTCATGTCTTGGTTATGCTACGGCGTCATGCCTCTTCAGCAGCCTCATCCAAGTCCTTTTTACCTGGCGGTATGTTCAAGCCCGTCCTGCCATCTGCCAACACAATGTTGGACAGTCAGAACAGTTGCAGACCAAATGGGATGATCACCACAGGAGGACCCATCACTGCTTCGGCTTCTGCTGCCAACCCAATAAGTTCGAATAATAATAATCATCAAATCCGCCACTTTGGGTCCGATCGGAGCTTACGACGGAACAAACGACGCAAGGTGAGTCCCTTCAAGGTACTCAAAGTGCGTCGAACGACTCCCTATGCCGCAGTCAAGACGATATTTTTGAAATTGGCCATGCAGCATCACCCCGATGTAGCCGGTGCCAAATCAGAAGAGGAACAAGAGAAATCCCGTGAATTATTCATTCAAGCTCGTCAAGCCTTTGAGGCATTGGTGGAAGATCCCGAAACTGGGGGCATTTGCCTTGTGGAAGAATTGCCCGACTATGTAGCAGACGATGAACACGACAAGATGGACGAATGGTTCAAACAAGAAACGGGATATGACATGCCATTTATGGATGAAGCAACAATGAAGGAAGTGGCTGCCATGACAGAAGCAGTTGGTGGAGGAGGTATGGACCGTGGATTGGATCGTGATGGAGGCATGTGGGAACTAGCTCGTATGGTCACTCGAACTGTCAAAACTGGTGGTGATGGAAAGAATTTATTGCGGCTTGAACAAGGAGAAGTGAAAGAAATAAACATCAACAATTCCAACTTGAGAGCCAGGAGACGACGGGCGAGATAATGCAGCCAAAGCTCCAAGCAAGAAAGATCGTTGAAGATTGTTGGCATGAAACACTCTCGGCAGTTGACAATGAGCAGGCAGAGAAGCACGGGGGGGGGGGCGACAATAACGATGAGTCGTTTCTTTGTATATATTATCATACTTTATTTATTTTTAATATAATATGGTAACCATGCTGCTTACGACGTGTAATAAAATCAAACTTTACTAAAAGTACATGCATGGGCAGACAAATAATACATTCAACAACATGTCCTAGTAGCTAGCTGGTGCTGCATGATTTGCCTCAAAAGCTGGCATCTCATCTTGCGCGAATGGACTCGACTCTAGCAAAGCAACGGAAACGACCGAAAAACTTTCCACTCCTCCCTACAATGCCAAAACCTTGATCAGCAATGGTGGTCTGTCATGGAGTGATCGCTATTGTCCATATACCCGGTTGTAGTAGTAGTATGGTCTGTGTACGATAACTTTTTTTCAGCATCAGCCTCCTTCATTGACTTGACCATGTCTTTGGGTCCAGATGTTTCTTGTGGTACAATCTTTCGTTGGGTGCTGGTGGCACCGCCAGTTTGGTTGTGATCCGTATCGACAGTTTTGCTGCTACCTGCTGAGGCTGGTTCCGGTTCCTCGCACTTCTCAATACTAGTTTCACTCGTACTGGTACGGGCACCCCAGAAGTTGCCCAATAAGGCACCGGTCACAGACAAACTCATGTTGTGTGTCAGGAACACAATGACACTGGCACCAATGATCAGGAACAGCCCCGCATTGAAAAGAAGAGAAAAATGCAAAAGGGAGGATGTTGCAAAGAATGACACAAGCCCACCACACCAAAAGGAAGACCAGAGACTGAGCAATACTCCAATCTTCCAAGTGTTGGCGCAGTTCCCTCTGAGAAGTTGGCCGGTAAAGATGCCAATGTCCGTGGTCGTCCCTGTGATACCCGTGGACCGGATCAAGTTTTGACTGTACAGGGAGGAGATGCCATTTTGAATGCCGTTGGCAGCCGCTGCAAAGTAAAAGATAAAGTTTTCGTTTCGCACTTCCAAGGCGGCCAGGGTACTGGAGGTGGTCAAGAAGATACCCCCCAGGAGAAAGGTTGGTCCATAGGAAGGTTCAATGATGAAAGGTCGTGGCTTTGGCGTCAGGGCCCCAGCAATGAAACTGCCCATGCCAAAGCACAAGAACATACTAAGGAGGAATCCAAACTCCTTAAAGTTTCCGCTGGCAAGTGCCAAAGCTGACTTGGTCAGAGTTCCGGTGTGACTGGTGACTGCTCGCATGGTACCCGAGGGTGCTACCAGTCCAGTCAGACAACTGCCATTCACATAGCCGGCATTAAACGAGAGCAGAACTCCCACGCAAATGGCATAGATGTACTCTTGACCTTGCGGCTTCTTTTTTCCGCCGCTGTTGGCAGGTTGGTGGTTCTCTGTCGACTTGGTCTTGAAAGCCGGCAAGTCTAGACTCAAGTCGTCATCATCGTCTTCCTCGGAGCTGCTACTATCTCCGTCGTCGTGAAAGCTCCGGCTCGAAAACCAGTCCTGAGATGTCATTCTTCGGGACGACGATCTGCGACGAGACACCTTTGTCACTACTTGTGGGGCCGGTTCGACTTTCTGGTCCATGGTGTCTGCCTTGTCTTGTTGAAATGTTTCAGACTGATGTTTGGTGCCTGCGTCTGCCATGGGATGCTGTGATGGCTCCTCCATCATTCCTCTTGGACCAACTGCTGCACAGTGTCTCCGAGAGCTGGGGAAGTACCACCGAGGTTGGAGGTACATGTATAATACTAGTACCAACTTGGCGACAACTCCACCACGGCAAGATCCATGCAAGATCAGCGGTCAGCGGGGTCGCCGGGGTGCAAGGTCAAAAACGGACCAGAGTACACACTGTAGTTTGCGACATATACTTACTTGTACTTTCTGTAAAAGAAGCCGCAATTGCAAGCAGATAGAGGGCATCTGATGTCATTTTACCCGAGACTGAGGTACAGTACTTTTAAAAAATACGATACTAGCAGGATGGGGCACTCAAATTTAAATCCCAGACGACAACATCAGGCTCTCCAAACTGAATCGTTTTTTAAATAGTATATTTTTTAAAATAGGAGACGATTGCTTTCGCCTTTTCATTAAATCATCGTCTCTTCAGTATTTTTCCACGAATGACGTTTCAACAGAGGTCCTGTATTTAAGTATCGAGGTTGTTGGCTACTGTATTATTATTAGGTTGGAGGTAACCCAACAACTGCGCGACCACCCCCCACCCACCACGAACGAAGCAACGGAAGAGCTTGTTGCTTGTTGGCGCTGTGCCAATAAAATTTGTTAAATAAATATTCCAAGGTAAAAGAAGCCCTGCCTCTGCTGCTTCAACACGGATTTAAAGACATGGATTTTTTCAAAGCAAGGATGTACTCCGGACAAGTAGGCTAAAGCTGTAAAAGACAATGGACAATGTATTGAGGCAACAGGACTTAAATGTGGCAGAGAGGGTGTGGCAGCACCATAACTATGATCCGAGCATCCAAGGTTTCAGTGTAAAAATCCTAGTCCTGTGCGATAAGATCCAAACACCTATCCAAACGCAATGAAATGCAAAGAATGCGAATACACGGAAAAAGAGAAAGTACCTCGAGCTCGTAGCCTCGTACCAGTAGTCTAAAAACGTGGCGGGGTGCCGGCACAACGAAGCAACGAAGTTGACTTGATTCCTTGTGTCAGGCCTCTCATCTCTCGTCACAACTGCCAATTGCCGGCCACACATCAGACAACCAGCAGTCTACCAGTATACATCATGTACTAGTACCCAAACCAACCAGCCCTCCAATATCCAAACAATCACCACCCACGTTACTCTTTGGGACGCAGAATTCAGTTTTTAAGAATGAAAGATTCACTATCTGGTACCACGAAAGGCGAGACCACTGAGCACTCGTGCAGAACCACCGTGTCTTTCATGGATGCAGTCGAGGAGGAGGAGGAGGAAGAAGAAGAAGTAGAGGAGGAAGAAGAGAGTGTGCCCACACAAGCCCATCCATTAGGACCGTACACGCATCGTGAATATACGTTTGCCGTGTGTGCTGGGGCCGTGTTGGCATTCAACAGTGGCTATGTCAACGGGAGCTGTTTCTCCGGTTTTGTAGCTCCGTCGGGTCGGCGACAATCGGCTGCCAGTTTCACAGGTACCCTGTCACGGTCAGCACTGAATCTGGGGGATGGTCAATACGATATGTTTGCCTTTCTGATCGGAATGGTCCTGAGCTTTTTTGCGGGAGCTTGCATCAGTGGACTACTTACTCCGAGCCCTACTCCATTCAGGATCGAGCCTACCTATGGACCAACCTTCCTCATGGGTGCAGCCTGCTTGACGCTCGCCAGCATTCTGGCAGCACTAGAGCAACATGAAGATTGGGTTTTCTTCTTGGCAGCCGCTGCCGATGGGATCCAAAATGGGATTAGTTCCATCTACAGCAGTGGGTTGATTCGATCCACAGGATACACCGGAGCCATTACGGATATCTGCATCTTTCTAGCGCAAATCATCATACACAAGGATCACAAGAACAAATGGAAGCTTTGTGTCCTCTTGACGCTCATGACTTCGTTTTGGGTTGGTAGTCTGGTGTCCTTTTGGTCGGCCCAAAGATTCACCAGCTTCTCCCTCCTGATCAATGCCGGAATCTTTGTGCTGATTGGTGGCAGCCTAGTTGCCTTCCTGGTCTACGAATTGGGAATATCCTTTCAACAAGCCATCCTGGGAAGTTGGAAATGGCAGAAGGCAATGGACAAGCTTCATGATTCCTTTGACCACGGCGCCTTCTCCGTCAACAATCACAGGCAAAATGTCAAAAAGAGCATTACTGGTTTTGAAGATAACTCTTCTTCCCTCCTATTGAACAGGGAAGGTAGTAACCACCAACCCACACGAACCGTCATGACAGATCGGCACCTCTCCATACTGTTCAAGAGACTCGACACGGACAACAGCAACTCACTGGATCTAGGTGAACTCCTGGTGGCCTTGCAGAATGCAGGCATGGAGGTCACCGAACGAGAGTGTCAAGTCATGATGAATCACGCGGATACCGATGGTGATGGAACGATTTCTTGCGAGGAATGGATCGACCTGGCTAGATCTTGTCACTCCAAAAAGTCACGGCGATCGAATCTTGTCTCCTTCCGGTGATGTAGGTTGGCATGCAACCGTGCAGCCAACCATCCAGCCAGCCAACGAATTAGTTAGGGACCCATTGTTCATCGCCAACCTTGTAGAAGATACATGGCGGAGTATGCGTCTTGCATACTATTGCATTGTTAGAACTCCGTACAGTAGATTTATTTTTTAGTAATCAGCTACTTCATACCTTGACTCCCATTGACCTTTCTACGGCCAGTATTGCAACCAACCACCAGTACTTCTACTGCAGTCTGCTAGCTACGCGGTTGATCCACCGTAGACAGGATCATTGGACTTGGCCAAGGCTTGCGACCATGCCACGACAATCTTTCGATTCTTGGAATACGTTGGCTCCCTGCCATGGCTCGTGGAGAAGTTGTCAATCAACAAAAGATCACCCGTCTTCCACTGATTGAACACCATGTTTTTGTGAATTGCTTTGCGAATTTGTCCCATTTCTCTCACGGAAATGGGGCTGCCGTCACCATAGCTTACATGCAACGAGACACGTCTTCTCAACAAACCATACGTCACAAAGCTGACCAAACCCGTCGAAATGGACCTCAGCAGGAACCGAATATCTTTGGTGCGTCGAAAGGCATGGAACAATTCTGCCGGAAACGTACTCCAATGAAAGACCTGAGCATGGTTGAAATACACTGGCTCTTTGGTATCAGGATGATACTGGAAGGGCTCAGAGTTGTACTCTGACACAAACAGCTTTTTGTCTTTGCCCCCTTCCCATCTCATGGGTGTGTCTTCTGCTCGGCAAATCTCTTCTACCAGCGTCTGATCGTGAGTATCAAACAGATCCGACCATCCTTTGAGGGAAGTAATATCTGTGGTCATGAATTCAGGCTTGAATCCATACTCTTTGTGCTTTCTCGTGTAGCGAATCTTTTTGGTGGCTAGTTTCTCTCTCAGTTTGGGCGGCAAATCTCGGTATACCTTGCGAAAGTCTGTCAGTGCTGTCTCCCCTCCTTTCTTTCCAGGCGTGGCATGTGGAGCTTGCAAAGCCGAAAAGAAGAGACGTCTAGGTGGAGCCGGCAAAAAGGACATCTCCAACTGAAGCAGGAGAATGGGAGTTATATGGATGCTGTTGAGATGTTTGTGACTTACAATTCTTTCTTGCACTTACATGCTGGGCAATGGGGAAGTGGGAGGGGACTTCGGCGGCGGAAAAGACAAAATCACTTCCTTCCTGAGTGTTGCGCGGGGAGGTTCCGCGATATTCATTGCTCAGATTGGGTTCCAAGGCTCGCACATCCGCTTCCACCTCGGCGGCCGAATCAATGTCAAAGCCACGAAACAAGACCGCTCCATACTTGAGGATTTGCTCGTCGACCCAGTCTCGATTGGCACGCATAAAGCCACGCAAGCAAAAGTTTTCCGTGTAGTTTTTGGGAGATACCACCAGCGGAAAGACATAGACGGCGTTGTCAGTTTCGCTGGAAGCAGGGAGCAGTGATGTGTCAATGTGATCCAAGGATGGCGCCAATGGTGCTGTCATTCCACAGCAAGACGTATCCAACAGGGCCTGATCAGAGGTCAGCTGGTTTCGGCTCGTGGGAATGGCGGTGTCATCGCCATTGGTGGAGGACAGCTCAGGCCAAAAGACCTGCTGCTTCTCGATTAGTTTCTTGCTCAGCTCTGAAGCTTTTCCTCGACAGCTTCCAAATCTTGACACATGTTGAGGAGTGACAAAGGTAGAGACTGACACGGCCATAAAGGTGACAAGCCCCGTCACGGTGAAAGAGCGATGACAGAGGTTCATCGTGATGGTGTTTTGCCTTGCAAGCCTTGTCTGAACAAACGGATTGGATCAATCTGTTGTGCACCAAACCCAAAGAAGAAGAAGGTCGTCCTCAAAAGATCGTCGAAGAGAAAAGGTTCTTTCGAATTCGTGATTATCATTCTCGCCGTAAAACCCACGCCACGGAGAGCCAATAGAGAAAAGGCCCAATCCTGGAAACTTTAGGCTTTGCTTGGGTACGACTGTACCTCCCAAAGCAGTACCAGGTACTGGTAGTAGTCAACATAAAAAATAGCTAATTATTATAGAATGGCTTATTCAAAAATAAAAGAGCAGCAGCACTCTTAGAATGCTCCCGCGTCGGCAAGCTCCAAGTCGCCGGCAGCCATGACATCATAGACACACTGGTCCTTCATGTCTCCCCAATGCTCACAGGCCTCCTCAGCAGCTTCCATGGAAATGGTGGATTCACCAAGCATACGACCAAGTCTCTCAGTGCTAGGCATAGTGCATTGCACTGGGTGCTGTGGGAATCTGTTTGCCTGGAAGAGTTTTGGTTCAGTATCACGGACCTGCCATTCATTGCCAAAGGCATCAGCATCAGTCATGACAGTTCCATTGCGGGAAAGCAACTTGCCAGTTCCAAACTCTCCCAAGAGACCCTGGCTGCCATTGTACTCTTCGGCGCTGGCACCAACTGTCTTTACACTGACCAGGTCCTTAAAGGATTGAATAACAATCTGCTTTCCCTCCCCAAGCTCAATAGTGAAAACATGTTTCTTGGAGTTGACCTCCGTGTGTGTCACAGGGTACTTGTCATCCATCTTATCCAGCTCTGCATTGGAAACGCCATCCAACAAGTAACTAACATATTCACCAACCTCCAAAACGCTGTCTCCAATTTGAACAGCAGCCGACTCAATGTACGAGTACTCGTAACGAGCCTTGGTTCGAATGTGGACCGCCAATCCAGTTCCATGTCCAAACTTGGGGCTGTTGATAAAGACCAAGTCACATTCCCCATGGAAATCAAACCACTCACCAGCCCAGGACTTGAAGTGAGGATCACCAGTGCCAGCTCCATCACCACAACGAGTGAGTTTCACAGACCATGACAAAAGTTCTCCGCGCTTGCGATCCTGATCGTCTCGAATCTTTAGCGTCCAGAATCCACTGGAAGGGTAACCATTGAATGTAGCGAGAGACCCTTCTGGCCGAACAGATATTCCATCGTTGTTGCAAAGCGCCCGGTTATTACCAACTCCGTCAAGACTTATTGTGGCGGAATCATCAAAAGTAACAATAAGATCATCAGTGCCCCCACAGTCATCATGTTGCAGCCGAACAAGAGGATCAGTGATTCCCATTGGAGCGTCTAGGGTGATATCAACGTCCAAGTCTCTTGTACGTGTATGCTCTATGTGCACCACAACGTCGACATCACAGATGGGAAAGGTGACATCCACGAAGATGCTTGATTCAGTTAATCCGCTGGAGCCGGTTGGTGGAATTCGCAAGTTACTGTTGGCAGCATTCGACGTGTAGGTGACAGTCTGAGCCTTGGTAGAAGCCAAGCTGCCAAGGAGAGAAAGGGTAATCAAAGTGATCATCATGTTGGAAGTTTTGTTTTGTCGAAATCAAAGTTGCAGTGTTGCTTCTGTTTTTAAGTCGTTTCGACTTTCGAATTGTGAGCAGATAAAAGGAGGATCTGTTCCGGATCCCCACCCCAGGTTCAGTCGAAAGCACCATAAACTGGCACATACCAGTAAGGCTTGGGTAAAGTACGCACCACGTGCCACGTGACAAGACACAGTTGGAGTGGAGTACTGGAACATTACTCTAGAGATTAAGTATTATTGAATCTGACAGTTGCGATCAGATGCCTGAGACTGCAGCATCTCACCTTTTTGGGCATCATTGAAGAGGGTTTTGGTAGAGTGTGACTTGGGCAGTAAAAAGTGTACTAGCTAGCCAGAGTAGTCTAACTACATGTAGTACGTTTTAGATTTGTGGCTACCGGTCGGTCGGTCGGTATCAGTATCGGTACTGGTAGCACCGGACCTACCGCTAGCTAGCTAGAGTGCACTTCGGTATTAGTACATTGATACGGTACAGTTATTATTGTATGAACTAGCTAGTCTGGATTGGATTTAATTAATGGAATACTCAAAGTAGGTTTCAACAAGACATAAATGTGACATTCGTGAATAAAAAGTGTACGTGTGTTGTACTAGTAAGAATGGTACAAAACCAGTACGGTACGGTAGGGTACGTTACGCTATTAAAATAGAAATTGGCACCTTTTCTGATCTAGCTAGTATGATAATAGATTTAATGGATTTGGTTCAAACAAGAAGTCCCCAAAGATGGTCGAGGCACACTCGTTCTTTCGAATTCGTGGCAGTCCATTCTTTCGAATTCAAGATTCCACATGGGTTCAAAAGTGTGTGACAGGGACATTAGCTGGCTGGCTTGCAAAGTTGGTAACCACAATAATATTGCTATATACCACTCGAAACTTTCCGAGGCTCCAAATGGTGTAATAGGTCAACCAACCATTGTATTGACGTCGTTATCTTCACTGTAGAGACTGTAAGATTCCACTAGAAGCACTCTAGAGAGCATCTGTTGCTTGACAGTTCCTAGTTTGCTTGTTTGGGTCCATTGGAGGAGCAAAAGGGCCACAATTTTCCCGACAATGGGGCGAGCCTCGGAAATTTTGGGTGTTGGTGCCACTGTGTCCATGCAATGCTGCTGCCCAATGCATCCCTTTTTGTTGACGTGATATCCTAGTCATCAGGTATCAGTTTTGTGGAAGTGCTGTTTGGAAATAATCAATTTTACAAGGGTTTATGGCTAGATAAATTCGGCTTGGACGCGGCACCCCTCACCCAATGATCCATCCTCAGCGAAGACACTTGTCCAGTATGCCGGCACTCTACTGAAACAAACAAATTCAAAACATTCTTTCCAGTCTTCTTTGATGACATAACCATTGATAGATTGAGTGAATCCTTTGGGTAGAGAGATATGCCCAAACTCTTTGGCAGCAGGCGCTTCATCAGCTGTTTTCATTTTGGATCGATCTTTGTTTCGATAAGGTCCTCTTCTTTGTTGCGTGAAACATTCATTGATGCCTGCAAATGTTCTTTCAATCTCAGGCCTTGATTGTAGCATTGTCCTGCGGTAGATTGTGTGTGCTCTGTCCTCTGTAGATGTCATACAAGCTAAAGGTTTTCGGACTGATTCAATACATTTGTGAGAGGATTCGAAGCCTTCCTCGGAGCATCTCCCAAGCATCCCATGCTGCCTGACAAATTGAGGAAGGTGCGTGACTAAAACATGCAATTTGTTGAATATGGTTGCCTCATCCGAACCACCCTCTCCTGTGGTGGTAAAAGCAATCCATTGCTCCCCGTATTGTCGTGCAGCTGATTCAAATTCATCGCACGCCTCTGTTGTCCATTTTCTTTGGCTCTTCATCATCACAGACATTCCATAGAGCAATTTTGTCATCAAAGCAAACTTTTCCATGAGCGTGTCGACAGATTTCTGCAACTGTACTAGGTTGTGGTTGTTGGCGAAAACTTTGTGCATTCGATTGATGATCTTGTCGGCTCTCTCAAGCACGCGAATTCCATCAGCATTCGACAACTCAAAACCACTATTCTCAACTCGAAACGCGACTCTTCCATCAACCTCGTAAGCTTTTCTGAATGCATAAGTTGCCGGCCCCATAATTCGAGACTTTGTCTTCTTGGCTACTCCTTGCACAAAGTCATTTCCTTTTTCAATGAAGAGTTTGGCGGCATCACGAGACTTGGTGACAGCCATCAACTCCAAAGAAAGTATTTCTCGCTCTGCTTCGAGTTGCTTCGATATTTGAGCCGATCCCATGAGTTGTGCAGCTTGGATGTCATGCACGAGCTTTGTATCTTGCTTTCGTAGTTTCTCTGAACTTGACTTCGTTGCATTTATAAAAACTCTTGCATTGTCCAACTTAGCAGTGAGACCATCCAACCATCCCGTCAGCTTGTCGATTTCAGCCAAGTGAACCAACATTCGCTGAGTGCAATGAGTAAGCAAGCCACTTGACACATGCATATCAGAGCATGAATTTGCCTCTGGTGGCGTGTAGAGTAAAGGTTCAAAGACCACACTCAAGTATTTCTGTTTCATTGTCTTTGCCTGACCTGTGGAGTTGTTTCGAACCCAATCTACTCTACCTTTGGCCGCTTCCACAAAGTCTTCGTACAGTTTTGGATTGGCAAAGTCGCCTGCTCTGTTGGCCGGTTGCTCATCTTGGGGTTTGGTGAGATACGAGGCAAATTCCTTCTTTCCAGCAACACAGATTGTGCAAGGATGCATGACTGACGCAGTGCCTTGGCCCATGAGAGTTGTGTTGCACTTGATGTCATCTGAAGTCAAGCCGCGAACCAACAAGCAATTAAAGCTCAAAGTGTCTTCTGTTGCCGCTAGAAGATGTTCCGAAAAGAACTCGGTTAACAGAATTCGTCCCAAGCAATTGCGTAGAATAAAACCTCTGTGTACAATGTCATCATCTTCCTCGGCACTTGAAACAATCATTTGAATAGAGAGTGAAGCAATATCGTGACTTCCTCTGAGTGATTCCTCATCAGTGGCATCGATGATATGTACGGTTGGAGGTAATGCCCTTTCTTGATTCTCAGCTCGAATGGGGGCTGTCTCATCTTCGGGGTGACGGGTCAAAGAGATACGGTGACCAGAGCTCATACTTGGAACAACAAACCGAAGCATCGAGCACTGAGCATCCATAACAGCTCCACTTTCGTTGCTGATTGTCACAGTGATCATGTGATAGTTCTTTTCAAGCAGACCGATGAGGAAATTGCGTGTTGGTTTGTGTGGATTAAAAATAGTCTGCCGAAGATTGAAATAACTCTCTTTTCCTAACTCATAGAAAGAAAGAGGCAGACAGTGCTGAGAGGCATTGCCACCTGATCGATTGCCAATTCTGACAAGATTAGCCGTGATATCACCACCTCTGTCTGAGCCCTGAATAACAACAAGCTCATCTATATGGTTAGAGAAAACAAGCGATCTTTCAAACTTTGCAGCTACCAATGCACTCTGCACAAGACGTTGGATGGCAACAGCAGGCTCCCTTATCCAAACATGAAGGCACCTTCGATTTCTTGTTGATCCACCAATTTCCAGGGCAACAAGCTCAAATCCAAGCTTCAAATCAAATGTGTCCATCGAAAACTTGGCAAGATTCTTTCTCAATGATGATGGCAAAAATGATGGACCAAGACTATTGGGTAGAGCCCATTTTACGAATCGCTGCAACCGTTCGAGGCCTCTGGCAGTAACAGGAAGGTAGAGCATCAATGCCGCACATTGAGAGATGGTAAGTCCACAGTCACGTTGTTTCATGAAACGAAGTTCTCGTCTAGCAGCAAGGCTTCGGAGAATTGTTGTTGTTTCCTCGGCTGAGAGACCAAGATGTGAAATCAAAGCTTCTAGCAGGTGTCCCTTTGCACGGCGCTTTCTTCCTTTCTTATCTCCGGTGCCTTCCCTTGTTGCTTTGATTCTCATTATCTTCAATGGACTTCCGTTTCGGTATGGTCTCAGAGTTATAATTTCTGCAGCTGCTGCTATAACAGCCTTGCTTGTTTGCTGTAAATCATCCATGTTGTTGCTGCCTTCCCAATTACTGCAATGATCATCTGCACATTGATGAGCGAGAGCCTCTCTGTTTCAACGGAACATTGAATAAAGAGCCCGACAGATCTCTGTCTCACTCTGTTTGTTGACATTTTTGTCGGTGTCCAGCTCTGCCTGAAGCCGCCCGGCAAGGTCAGTCTGAGTGCTCACATCAAAAAGATTTGGCAAAGGTTGACCATTGTCGGTCTGACTTGATGCATCTGCTTTGCTGGCCAGATTGAAATTAAGACAAGTTCGACCGTGGTGCTGCTGACTTGTGTTTTGGTTGCGTTCGATCGTTGGTGAGAAAGACTGCTCTTCTCCTTCCACTGATGGACTGACCCGAGAGCAAACACTCGCAACTGGCGATAGCATGCTAACGGGTGATGCAAAATCCAAGTCGGCTCCAACCATCGGTGTAGCTTTCATGTCGCGACGCTTTGCATCACGGCCAACTAGGGAAGGTGAGAAAACAGCATCTCGATTGTCGGTTGTTAATTGATTGGGACGCTTTTTGTCACTAGAGATGATCCAAGGAAGAAAATCACCGTCCAGTCCCTGTTACAACTCCAACAGAGAGCCCATTATCGCCCCAAAGGAACCTATCCCAACAACCTCATTGACAAGGACAGTTACTCACTGTGGGTAGACTTGCTTCAGCTCAAGTACGAAGTTCGGAAAATCAGCCAATTCGCTCGAAAGAAGCAGTGAAGGAACACCTGGCGTCCCCGAGTGAACGAAAGACTTATTGCATTCGCACCTATCTTGGCCATCGACGTTTCGTGGAATTTGACTGTTTATCAAGCACAACAGTGCTTTATCTCTTTTGGTACGGGGCTTCTCGCTTCTCTGTCAATTCAGCGATTTACACGGAACGTTTGGATTTATTGTTGATTCCGAGGCTTATCTCTTGAGTGATTTCAAGGAACTTTTTCACTAAGTCTGTGCAGTTTTGAGCGATTTACCGGAACCTACTGGAAGTTCTCCGCGGAACGTTATCAGCCAATCAAAACGTCCGTGCAGTTTCGGTACTTATTGCGAGTGCTCTGAGTCAGTTTTGCACGACCGAAACGCTTCCGTACCGATCCTAGTGCTCCCCGTACCGATTCGGCGCTTATAGTGCACAGTTCCCCGTTCTGAAAGCAGGCCCAGTTTCGTAAACTGGAAGTGACCTCACATTTTAAAGGTTTTACGTGGTCGAGTCATTGAATCCGGCAGGAAATCGCGATCTTCCAGAGGCAGCTACCTAGTACTAACTCGAGGACCACGGCGAGCCCAATACACGGATTTGAAGGACTGAGAGTAACACCACTGGAAACGGCACTCTTCAATTGGTCAGTGGGTATCTCACCTTGAATTCTAAGAGCTTTTGTGGGGAGATTCATTGGTCCCAACAAGCTAGCTTCGCAGTGGCAAAATCTCACAAATCCAAGCCAGTGCACTACGCTAAAAGCTAGTGTAAAGATCTTTCGAGTGTTTTGAGTTTGAGAGAATGAAACTTTAGAGAGAGATTAGAAAGCTACGAAAACAAATCCATGAGAGAGATCGTTGTGAAGCTCATTGAAGTTGGTCTCCCGCGGGAGGCCTTGAAGTGTGATATCGTAGGTTATGGTAATAACTCTACATACTCCACGGTCCATTTCCGGAACACGTGGAAACTTCAGCAGGTAGCTGTCTAGTAGCATGGAAGCTTTCCACGCCGGCTAAATATCTAGAGCGATGTTCCATCGACAACCTAGTATGACTAGCAGTCATGAGAACCCTATCTCAATGACTATTCGCGAAGGACTACGTCATGAGTCGAACTCAAACCCTATCTAGGATCGAGTCGCGAATAAGGCTAAGAGCCGTGTAGTGCATTTGCCCCCTGACAAGGGTCACAGGAGGCACGACATCAGTCGGACAAGGAGAACATATGAATTAAAGTGCGGGGCACTCTCCGGAGATTGGATGTAGACATGTGTGTCGCACGATGGCAATCCTACAAGGGGATCAGGCCTTGTATGGGTGTAAATACCTTATGTTCCAAGTCTGGTAGACTGTGCCGCCATTGGCGGTAGCATGTCGGAGCCATACAGTGCCATTGTCATTCACTCGATCTATGTTGTAAGGACCTTTGTACTTTTGCTGACCGTACTTGCGGTGCTGATACTGTTGAATCATCACACTATCATTGACATTGTATTGATGAGGGACACGCGTCGCGTTCTCCCTATCATGCTGGGTGTCCAATGGACACATCCAGAAATCGATTCTCGCTGTCACATAGTCCCTGCATGTTCAATCCAAACTTGTGCTTCCTTCCACAAAAGAATTTCTTTGGCCCGCACTGTGCCAACATGCACTCATTGTCACTGAACTTTTCGGTCCAAATGAGAATGCCATCGATTGCCCCTGCACAATTGTGAAAGCCCGGTTGACTTCTCTTTCTGAAACCTGCTGCAATACGTCTTTGTTCTGCGTGACTTTCCGGAAACTTGAAGGCAAGCTCTGGGCAGGTGTTGACTGCATCGACAACCTTCCATAAGCTCTCGAACACCTGTGTATGGGAGATCCCATGGACCAGTGCAATGTCTTCAGGTCTCCCCCCTGCAAAGTACCGAATTGCACTGCTCAGTCTCACAGGACTTGTAATAACTCCATTCGCTGCACCCTTGCGTCCTTTCTTCTTTGTTGTTTTGACCTTCAAGTAGGGATAAAGCAATCGATGGAGTCGCCAGAAAGAATCTTGTTTCATTCTGTAGGCACGGCGCACATAACCTTGTCCAAGTTCACGGAAGATGTCACTGACCAACCTACGGCTTCTAGCAATAGGATAGGCAGGTGGTCGAGGTTTCTTGGGAATGACAAAGCCAAACTCTTCTGGGAAAACAGACAGGAGCAGTGACAAGATGATAATAATGAGGCGGGGGTAGTCCTCGGTGATAATGGTGGCATCTTGGTGCGACAATACCATTGTGGATTGATTAATCTAACGATCTAAGAGATGTAAAGTTTGTATTTCCAAATAAGTGAGCAGTTATTGATTATTTTCTAGAATAGGCCGCAATTTAAAGCTGTAAAGCTGAATTGTAAGCTGTATCCGTCGCACTCCCTTACAGCTGAAATGAAGCTGTAGCAAGAAACGATAGGAGAGAGTCCCCAGCAACGTGCTGAGGTAGATTACCATCCCATGAGGAGCTTCCGAATGACTGCAAACTGTGGAGCTGGCAGACCCTTAGTGAAGATGTCGGCCCGTTGTTCCAGAGTCGGAATGTACTTGGCCACGATGCCCTTCGACTCCCGATATTCGACCTAAAGAAGTGGTACTTCAATGCCAAATACTTGTTGGGCGACATCTTGGGAACATTCACAAGAGACAGGCAACCTTGTTGTCTTCAACACTGTAGAGCGCACGAGACTGTCAGTAATTACGGGCATATGCAGTTTGTTACCAATTTCCTTGAGCAGGGCTCGCATAGGAAGCAGCTCCCTCATGGACATGCTGAAGGCAACATATTCAGCAGCAGTGGAGCTCAGAGTAATGTCAGTCTGCAGTTTGCTGGACCAAATGACAGGGCATCCAAACAAAGTCAAGACAAAACCAGTGCGAGACTTGACCGAAACAGGATCCTGATCATCCTCATATCCATACAACCCTGCGAAGTCAGCATCCACCCAACATCAAGCCTTGATCAAGCTTAGGGCTGAAACAAATGCCTTTGTAACTTGTGCCAATTAAATATCGAAGATACGTTTGATTGTTGAGCGTGTGAGGGCTTGGGGTTGTGGCTGAATCTTGCCACCTGATGCACACTAAAGTGATGTCTGGGCGAGTGTTGGATGAAATGTAAAGCAGCATCCCAACTGCAGCTGGATAGCTCCTCTTCGTCAAACGGGGCACCAAGTTTGTCAGCGCCAAGAGGATCGGGTGGCAGCAGGGGATGGCTTAGAGCTAGCTTCAGACATTCCAGTGTATCCAATAACCTTGTTGATAAGCCCCTTTTGAGTCAATCCACGTTGTCTCCCTGTCTTTCAAAGTTGATACCAAGGAACCCAAAGATGTCTCCCTTTTCTTCCATGGTGAGGTCATATCCAAGCTTCTGGAGCTGCCCAACATAGGACTCAATCAGATCATTGTCTGGACTGAGCCAGATTTGTCATCACAATAATTTAATACCATGAGTTGATGCTCCTTATGAATAAATAAACAAGATCTGCTGCTGAGGTTTCGAAACAAGTTGGACCATCCCACAACATAGATGCTCATAGAAAATTTGGGTGAATCAGTCTGCCCATATATGGACTTGTCAAGTTTCAAAACACAGTCCTGTCCTTCATAATCTTTGGGTCGATAGTACTGAGGCAGTTCCATGTACAATGGCTGGTCGGCAGGCTGAGGACTCTGACAGAAGCAAGAGTAAAATCAACTTGTCTCGATTCCATCCATGTGCAGCTGCAAGAAGAAGACCGGCTCTAACAGTGGGCCAACCAACGAGTGGAGAGTATGCGGTGCCTTCGTAGGACTGAAGGTCACCTCTGCAGCACCATCTAGATTTGAACTTGTTCAATTGGCCCTCTGGAGCGTTCCTCAATCGTGCATGACTTTAAATCCGACCCTAATTTAGGGTCGGTTTGGGGGAATCCGTCCTTAAATATAGGGACGGTTTCGAAACCCGACCCTAAATCGAAACCCGTCCCTAAATTAGGGACGTTTTATCAGAAACCGTCCCTATTTTTCAGAAAACGTCCCTATTTTTAGGGTCGGTTTCGAAACCCGACCCTAATATTGGTGCATTTTCAATGTATTTACCAGGCAGTCCCGTTTCTATTTAGGGACGTTTTTCAAACCGAACCCTAAAACGAAACCCGACCCTAAATTAGGGACGGTTTTTCAGAAACCGTCCCTATTTTCAGAAAACGTCCCTATTTTTAGGGTCGGTTTCGAAACCCGACCCTAAAGGGAATCCGACCCTAAATCCAACCCTATTTTAGGGTCGGTTTCATGC